CTATTACTGTAAATACATGTAACACATATGCTTGCTAGAAAAGGACAATTGAATCTATTTTAGTTTTATTCCTAAAGCAGCTGGCAAATCTCCTGTGATAGCATAAGGACATAAAACATGACCGAAAAAAATAGGGAATCGCATTAACCCACACGAGTGCACACACTGAAATGTCTCCCCTGTTTTACTGATCACGATTGATTTTATGTTGAAAGTTTTTTAGATAAAGGTTTTACACTAAATATCACATAAACTTATCATTATCAATGATCCATGTTAATCAGGTTAAGGTCAGATAAACCATGCCAGACCAACATGCACACCTTATGATAATTCCATATACAGTTAACATATTGCTTACATGCAGAAACAGACCCTAACAACGAAAACATGACATTTACCAATCCACTTTTAAAATGAGGTCAAGGTTTAATACCTGTCAGACAGTCATGTACAACGTACATTCATTCCATACACCAAATAAAGTTGGTTTATTGATCATAGTATCTTAGAAAGAGACTTAACTAGGAAAACTTAACCTTCGGCCAATGAATCATGAAAATGAGGTCAATGTCAGATGAACCCTACCCGACAGATATGTATACCTTATAATCATTTCATACACTAAATATTGTTGACCTATCACATTAAAATATCTGAGATACTGACCAAACTACGGAAATTTAACATTTACAAATGAACCATGAAATTGGGGTTAAGGTAAGATGATACCTGTCAGATGGACACCGAACTGTTATTCCATACATCAAATATAGTTGATCTATTGCTTGTGGTAACTGTGAAATAGACCAAAATACAAAAACTTAACACTGACCAATGAACAATGAAAATGAGAACAATGTTAGATGACACCTCCAGACAGACATGTACATCTAACAATCTCTTCCTACATCAATTATAGTTGACTTGCTGCTTAAAGTATCTGAGAAACGGGTCTAATTACGTAACTTTAACCTTGATCACTGATCGATGAAATGAGGTCAAGGTCAGTGCACCCTGTCTAATAGACAGGCCAATTATTTTTATCGTACTTCTCATAATAAGCGAGAAATTCACACGACAAACATGAAAATGAGGTCAAGAACAATGGTCATGTGACAGACGGAAACTTTTCAACATAATGCATCTCCATACAAGGTCTTCTACCTTCTGCAATATAAAGCTTTATCAAATAGTTTACGCCGCTGTCGGATTGTAATCCTAATGTCTCGCATACTACGAAAACTCGTAACGGCGAGACAAAAACTGCCAAGACTTGGTGCGTGGACAGGATAAGCGTCTCAAACTTTGAATGAAAAACCTATCATGCAAATCCACTCAGTCGAAAGTGCCACACTAGGGAATGGAACACAATCGGTAAATCAACGGATAAGATGACTGTTCTGGTGTGTGTGGTTTTTTTTAGATTATAAACATCAAAAACCCGAACTATTCTGAGTTGAGACACAGACACATATCGTATAAAAACAGACAAAACTATGAGCAAAAAGAAAAACGCCATAAGACTAAATACTACACAGAAAACTAAAGGCTGAGCACACGGACTCTACTAAAAAACCGGGGTTGAAGTAACAATGGTGTCAGCATAATAAACCTCCCAGGCTGTACCTTATTCTTATTACAAATGGGATAGATCATTTTGTCGATACCTTTGTTTTGGCTTTATACAAGGTCATGTTTTTCTCTGACTGTTAAGGACGTCTTTACGCTTAAGCCATTGGATATTGGATGTGTACTGATTGATATTTTAGTCTTAGATAAATGCTTTTTTATTAGTTGTTACTGGCTTTGAACTAGCTTTCAGTAACTACAAGTACTCTCAGATGTACAGAAGAAAGTAATAAAACAAGCTCTACTTTGTGTATTTGTATTTTTGCTTTGTATCGATCTGGTGAGTTAAGTCTTTTTCAACCACTGCACTTGCTTCATTTTAACAACCGTTCACTAGCTATGAGCGTAACTGCCTATCAATTGATCAGTTTTTATTAGTAAAATATGTTAGAAATTGGTATTGTGAAAGGGCGAAGCCTTTAGAATCACAAGGGCGACTCTTTTCAAGCTAAAGTACATTGTACAGTTGGCAACCTTCCCCTTCATACTGATATTCCACAAGTATCTTGGACACACTCTTTGTCTTGTTATCAGACAGTTTTACAAATCTTGCAGGTATCATTTATATCCTTTTATGTGATTCCAAAGTTACCTGTATTCTAAAATGTTTCGAAACTCTTTGGATATACATACTGTTATAAACCAACATTTTGACCTTGACCTTATGGCTGGAATCCCTGCCTAAATCAAACTACAACGTTAATAATCCTATTAATGTTTGTTCTTTGGAGGATATTTGGTGATTGTATACTATATCACTTTATGTTGATTTTTATGGATATCCTTACAAGAAATAGTATTTGTCACAATCATTCCATTAACCAATATATAAATGACATATTGCTTCTAGTAATTGATAGACTGACAAAATCATGAAAACTTAACATTGACCAGTGAACCAGGACAATGAGGTCAAGGTCATATGAAAACTGCCAGACAGATATGTACACCTTACAATCATTCCATGCACCAAATATAGAGGCCCTTGTGCTTATAGTATCTGAGAAACAGATCACAACCCACAAAAACTGAACATTGTCCACTGAACAATGAAAATCAGGTCAAGGTCAGATGAAACCTGCCAGTCGGACATGTACACCTTACAACCATTCCATACACCAAATAAAGTTGACCTATTGCTTCTAGTATCTGAGATATGGACTTGACCATGTAAAATTAACCTTGATCACTGATCCATGAAATGAGGTAGAGTGAATCAGGTCTGTCAGACATGTAGACCTTGCAAGGAACCCATACAAATATAGTTATCCTATTACTCATAATAAGTGAGTATTTCACATAACAAAACAAGAGTGCACATGCTGAAATGTCTAGCCTACTATACTGCTCATTGATTTTATGTTGATAGCCCTAATATAAAGTTTTACTACAAGTATCACATTAACATTTATGAACCAAAAAAATGAGGTCAAGGTCAGATAAACTAAGCCGGAAATACATGCACACCTTTAATACAATCATTCCATACACCGCATATAGATTACCTATTGCTTATAGTATAAAAGAAACAGACCAAACCATGAAAATGAGGTCAAGGTCAGATGAACCCTGCCAGACAGACATGTACACCTTAAAATCATTCCATGCATCAAATATAGTTGACCTATTGCTTATAGTATCTTAGAAACAAAGTTAACCAGGAAAACAGAACAATGACCAATGAACCATGAAAATGAGGTGAAGGTCAGATGAAACCTGCCAGATAGATATATACACCTTACAATCATTCCATACACCAAATATAGTTGACATATTGCTTAATGTTTAAGAAAAACAGACCAAAACACAAAAACTTAACATTGAGCAATGAACCATGAAAATAAGGTCAAGGTCAAATAAAACCTACAAGACTGACATGTACATTGTAAAATATTTCCATTCACCAAATATAGTTGACATATTGCATACAGTATAAAAAAAAACAGAACAAAACACCAAACCTTAACATTGAGCAATGAACAGTGAAAATAAGGTCAAGGTCAAATAAAACCTGCTAGACTGACATGCACATAGTAAAATATTTCCATACACTGAATATAGTTGACCTATTGCTTAATGTTTAAGAATAACAGACCAAAACATAAAAACTTAACATTGAGCAATGAACCATGAAAATGAGGTTACGGTCAAATAAATCCTGCCAGACTGACATGTACATCGTAAAATATTTCCATTCACCAAATATAGTTGACCTACTGCATAGTGTTAGAAAAACAGACCAAAACACAAAAACTTAACATTGAGCAATGAACCATGAAAATGAGGTCAAGGTCAGATGACACCTGCCAGTTGGACATGTATACCTTACAATCATTCCATACACCAAATATAGTAGACCTATTGCTTATAGTATCTGAGATATGGACTTGACCACGAAAACTTAACCTTGTTCACTGATTCATGAAATGAGGTCGAGGTCAAGAGAAAACTGTCTGACAGGCATGAGGACCTTGCAAGGTACACATACCAAATATAGTTATTCTTTTACTCATTATAAGAGAGAAATTAACATTACAAAAAATCTGAACTTTTTTTCAAGTAGTCACTTAACCATGAAAATGAGGTCAAGGCCAATGGACATATGACAGATGGAAACTTCATATCATAAGGCATCTATATAAAAAGTATGAGGCATCCAGGTCTTCTAACTTCTGAAATATTAAGCTTTTAAGAAGTTAGTTAACACCGCCGCCGCCGGATCACTATCCCTATGTCGAGCTTTCTGCAATAAAAGTCGCAGGCTCAACAAAAACTATAATTTTTTTCAAGCAATAACTGAACTATGAAAATGAGGTCAAGGACAATAGACATGTAACAGACGGAAACTTCGCAACATAAGGTATCTGCATACAATGTATGAAGCATCCAGGTCTTTTACCTTCTAAAGCTTTATACAAATAGTTTAGGCCGTCACTGCTGCCAGATTGTAATTCCTATGTCTAGGTTTGTGCATATTTGTCGCAGGCGAGACAAAAACTAAAGGAATCGTGTATTCAGACCTAAGATCCGATGTGCTCAAGTTTTTGTGATTCTTAGCAAAGAGGTATTTCCCAATGCAGGTTGTAGTAGAAACCATAACAAATATTAGGCTTGAAATAAGATACGAGTCTTGCTGATTGTTGATTGCCATACAGTGACCTATAGATGTTTACGTTCATGTCATTTGGTCTCTGATGGAAAGTTTTCTTATTGGCAATCATACCAAATCTTGTTATTTTCATAAAATTTCATTTACATTTATATAATGTGTTCTTGAAGACAATTTGAAATGAATAATGACAGGATCAGATGATCAAGCCAATACTATAGTCAGGTAGCAGGGCTTCATAAGATATATTGACGAAAAATCACTTAGAGAGATATTTTATTTGACTTTGTATAAAATATAAAACATCTCAAATCTCTTCATTCATTAACAATTAAAATCTATACAAATATATGTATGTACAAATCATATAGCACCATAGAAAATATTGCTGTACATGCAATAATCAACAAACAAAAACAAAATTAACGAATATAGCTCATTATTGCTGGCTGTCATCAATAGTGATCACTGTACAAATCTTCTCTCTTTCAGTGCTTGTTTCTAGGTTTTGCAATAAAGATACTTTGTTTAAAAGCATGTAATGCTTTTTTGGTTTAAACTAATAAGTTCTGAAAAAAATACTATTCATTAATAAAAAAAAAACACTGGTATTTATGGCAGTGAAGAGAAATACAAGTTTTGCTATACAAAAGTGACATCTTCTTCTGTGTTTGCTAAATCTAAAATAACAGGTTTATTGTCAGGTTTGGGTGTTGATGTAAATGTTGAAAATGTTGATGGTTTCTGATTTGAAGTTCGGCAAAATGCAGAAGTATTGGTTGGTGTATTATTAGTATAAGGTAGGGGAGATAACTGCTTTAAAACCCCATTTTTGTTAGATACGAGCACTGGAGGAACAGATTGTGGTCTCCAGCGATGATCTGCTGGAGAACTAGTCAATGTATCATCAAAGTCATCATTTGTAGTGGTACTATCTAACAGATCCAGCGATGTCAGTGGAGCAGAATTTCTTTCTATCGATTGTCTATTGGGAGATAATGGCCTGTACCGTGAGTATCCGAATGCTTTAGCTTGATACATATTATAACTATAGTCAAAACCTAAATCCCGTAAATTTTTCTCAGCTAAGCATGGATCATCAAAGTCTGCATTGATAGAATCTGATGACTGAAAGTATTCCTGAGCCTCAGATGTTTGTGGAATTATGCCATCTTGACTAAAACTTTGGTCTGTTGACATTAAATATTCACTATCATCTGCAGAAATATCCACAACCTCAACAGACATGGAAGAGATGCGCCCTGATGAGCTGATACGATTATGTGATGAATATTTGTCATTATTTTGTACATATTCAGAACGATCACGAGACAAAATGGGAGGAGCACTCTCTCGTCCGGATGAATGATGACTTTTATTGCGTAGGAATTCTGGAATTTCTGAATTATTCATGTCTAATCCTCTTTGGTCGTCCAGCCTTTGCCTTTGAGCTTTTGATAAAAGTTCCAAAAACTTGTCGTCTAAAAAAAAGAAAACAAAAAGTGGAATTATAAACTTCATGAAAATTAGATAACAGACATATATATATATATATTATATATATATGTAATAATTTAATCTTCTATAAATACAGCTTAAATTCTTTTTCCCCCTCGAGGATCTAATATTAAACATTACATCATTTGTTGTCAAATGATTCTAATGGCAATATACATTATCAAATAAAGTTGCGATTTAACATGTTTTTGTGTAATATTTCAATCTTATGCAATCATATTCTAACAACCAAGTAATATTAAGTACCATTTACAAGATTCATCTTCATTACTCCTTTATATACTAATTGTGAAGCTAAAAGTGTGTGATGATGACTAATGTGTGGTAAACAGTATGCATATCAAATGCATATGTGTTGTTTTATTTGATTGCGTAAATTCTGATCTACTCTTTTCCCCATCCAACTTTTTTCAATTTTAATTCTACATTTTTTAAAATGAATACAATCAAGTTTCTAATAACTGTAGGCAACATGAAAAGCTTTTTATTTTGCTACATCATTTCAATTAAAGATGAGTTTAATACTAAATTATATAAATTTGAGTATCTATTAGATTGATTGATTGGTGTATAACACCACTTTCAACACCATTGTGTTATATTGTGGCGGTTAGTTTTTATTGGTAGAGGAAGCCAGATTTCCCAGAGAGAACAACAGACCTTCGATAGGAAAACTGACAATCCTAGTCAATTAAGATTGGAGTCGAGTGCACCTGCTCTGTGCAGGATTCAAACTCACAACCTCAAAGTTGACTGGCTAGTGATACAGTAGTTGGACTACTTATACCACTTGGCCACTGAGGCCCCGAGTATCTATTAGAGAAAAGCTTACCATCACCCTGTGAAGTACGAGTCTGATTTTTCTGAAGATTAAACGTCACTTTGTGTTTTGACTTCATCTTGCTGGGTGGTGGATCCTTTACGGATGCTGACTCTTTTCTCCTGAGGCCGAATAAACCCAAAGAGGGACGATCTTCGTTGTTTTTCAGCAGACCCTATAAGACAAAATTGAGATATTAAGTCATGCAAACAACTTTTTTAATATTCTATTCTAATTATTAAATATTTCATCATTCAAATTGTTTCCGTTCTATATTCTACTATATTTTTCAGCCTTTCATCCTGACTACCTCCACAACACAACAAAAACAAATGTTCTCATTTATCAATATGGTGAAAAATATAAAATATCATCTATCCGAATGTCTAATATGACGTTTTAATGATAAAATTTATATAGCTGTATATAACTATTTTTCACATAATCTTGGGTATGTTGAGTCAAGAAATTGCATCATGCTATACTGCACTTTAATTTGTTATGTTCTTTTATTCAGTTTTTTTCTTTTCTTTCTTTTGTACCTTTTTAAACAAGTGCAAACTATTCTACAAGTTTTCTTTGTGAGCTAGAAGCAAGCTTTTGAAACTTAATCTATTAATATATAAGCTGCCATGAAATGCTGCTTTGTATGTCCATGTAATTTTAGGTGTCATTTGTGATTGTTCAGTTCATTATCATTTTTTTAATCTGTCAAAATTATTCTCAAATGTAAAGTTTTTTTTTTTATTTCTTTAAAAAGCAAAAGAAAGCTAGGAAAGAAAGAAAGAGTTCTGGGGATGGAAGAGATTAATCTATAAACCACTCTGTAAAATTAGTTTCCAACTACAAAAAGAAAGATGCACACTACAAACAAGCAAAAGGTCAAAGTTCACCACAATCTACCATAGCTACTGCATTCTCTTACCTTGACCTTGCTATCAGGATCTAAAATTCCAAGTTCATCAAAATTATGAGCCAACTGATGAGATTTGCCCTTCATCAGATCATCAAAGATACTATTTGTCATTAAGTTTAAGGAAACATATTCCTTCTGACTGTTATGGTAATCTGGGGGATATTTTAACGCCATAGTTGGAGACCAGGATGTCGAGCGTATACTTCCTGTTTTACCCGAAACTGTTAAATATATCATGCAAGTAAATACATTGTTAGATAAAACTAGGGATTGAACCAATTGCAGTCAGTGAATATTCATAAACCTTTTTCTCTTTTAAAACATGTACCACCCCAATAGACAGAAGTTTCATATCACATCTATGGATAATTATCTTCCCATGATTATTCATTTAAACCAGTTGCTACCCCATTAGTCCAGTGCCTTTTCTTGTCAATATAAAAACTTAAATGGAGCAGGTCTAAAATCATCCATTGTATTTATACAAATTTATAGAATATATTTAAAATGAACTTGTGTTTTCTTTTTAAAATTATGAATATTCACGGATTACAACTGATTATAATTAACAAACAAAGGTAAATGTTAACTAGCATATAACTGATTAAATATAAAAACACCATTCCAGGTAAATATATTTACATGTTATGCTTATACAATTAAATGTTATGAATTTTATATAAAATATGAAAGGTATATAAATTATCTAAGTTATTGTAATATATTTTTCACTGGATTCTATCAATGACTAATGACTTTGCCAGATAACAAGACTGTGCAACTATTTCATTGATAATGATTGTAAATCTTATTTTCTATCAAGAAACCTTAGACTGATCAATTTTAACTGGAAAAGCCATTAACTAGCAACTACAAAAAAATGTACTACTAATTTTGAACTGTTGTTTTATGTTTAATACACAAGTTTATACATTAATCATTCAAACTTTTCTGGTTCCAGAATATTTTTTTTATATAAAATAAACAAAATCAATAGTTCAGAATATAATATAATGTAATAAAAACCAACACCATTAGATTATTAGCAAACAAATGACAAATCAGGTTGTATTTACAAAACTTTTATTTTTATATTATTGCAAGTGCATTTTCAAGCAAATTTTCATCTTAATTCTTTTTAACAAAACAATAGTTTATATACAACCTAATTTGTCTGATATTAACACAAGAACTCTCGACATCATCGGGTCATTTTTTTGGCACAAAATTTTTGAAGGTAAGTAACTTTTCATTCACAAGTACGAAGCACACACATAATGCAAGGGAATACAAGGGTTATTTCCCTTTATTACACACACAACATGACAATGAAGACATGAAAAGATGATAGAGAGAAGAGTAGGATGAATAAAAGTTGGTGTAATGTGGTATATGTGGTTTGTAAAAATGATAATGGTAGTTATGAATGGATGAATTGATAAATTATGAATATTTCATTGTTTCATAATTTCTAATACTTATACACTGAATTTTTTGGTATGAATGATGATACGATGTATATGAATGAATGGATATATATGAATGTTTCATTGTTTTAAAATTAACAAAAAAACTATTAAACAGTTTTCTGTCATTACTATTACAATAATACTCATGTTAAACAATGAATCTTTCATAAGAAATCAAAAGTATCAGTACTTTCAGATTAAAATATACCAACTAGCTCATCAGTCGTGTGGGAACTTTGGCTAACAATCAATTTAGTTAAGTACACATGTACTTCAAAACAATTAATGCATAAAAATTTCCTGATATTCAACCATTAAGGAAGTAAATCATTTTAAATATTATTGTCGCAAACCAACTTTTACCAAAAAATGTTAATAACAGTGTTTGGAAAGCAAAATACCAACACAAATATACATATGCATTTCACCAAAGTCTACAAGATACCAACAACAAAAGCTTTACATGAAATTTTGGGAATTACATACCAACTATATCATCTTGTTGTAAAATCACAACTCTTTGATTATCTATTGTAGATACTTGTTCATCTATGTCTAATACATCTGGTTTCCCTGACTGAAAAAAAAACAACAAGAAATATAATCTGATGATCTCTGATTAATAAGAGTTGTCTCCCCTTATACAATTCTGACAGTTACTTTGTAATTAAAATTGGGTTTGATCTAATAAGAATATTTAAAACTTTGAGTAAAAAGAAGATAAACAAAAAGATAAATAAAATAGCATTAATAATTATTATAAAAAGGTTTTGATTATATTTAAAAAAAAAAAGAAAGAAAAAAAGAGAAGGTTTTACATGGACTTTTTAAATAATAACTAATAACATTCAAAGAGAGTGAGAGAGAGAAACAAAAAAATATGACATACCAATTGTACAAAAATATTATCCAACTTAAATCCATATTTATTAAGAATAGGTTTGAACACATCACGAATTGTTCGGTTTGGTTTAGCTTTGACACCAATAGATTTACGGTTAGGTAAGTCCATTCTAAATAACACCCGTCTTTCTATCATCACTTCTTTTGATCCCAAAGTAGATATATCCTCTGCCAGGTCCAATGGCTGAAAATAAAATTACAAAACATTTGAATATTCTGAGATATACAAGGTATTTGAAGATAAAATTTAGTCTAAAAATATATATTACATCTACAGTGTAAAAAAACAATACAAATCTTGTCCTTTTAAAAGAACAACTGTCTTCCATTAGCATTTTTTCAAGGGCACAACAAGAAAGTTTTATTTAGTTTTCTTTCTTTTAAATACAGGAAACTTTTGAAAAATGCAAAAATGTTACCTTATCAGATCCCAGTAAGAATACATCAACACCAGCAATAGACAAACTTCTCTTATCACACAACTTTCCTAAAACAGTTCTAATTGTCTGACCAGGTCTTGCACACACAACTGTTGTGGACCCATCAGGCATGATAACACGACAGAATTTAAAGTTTTGTTCATCATTTTCATTGGTGACTTTGGTTGCCTCCTTCCTCATTGTACTGAGATCAATACCAGGACCAGCTGGTATGGAAGGTTTACGTTGTTGTGTATTGTTATTTACTTCCTTTTCTTTAGTTATCTTTTCTTTTTCTTTCTCTTTCTCTTTTTCTTTTTTCTCATTCATTTTTTTCAAATCTGAATCTGAAGCTGCTTTGATACTTTGTTTGCTGCTCCCTTAAAAGATAAAATATAAATACATATTTATTACTTTATTTTTTTAAATTTCTATGTTAGTTCATGTAGTTATTTAAAACTAAGACTAATAACACTTCAGTATATTTTCATGCTGAGCTTAAGTGTTTACCAAACAGACCAAATCACTAGGTTTCGACAAATTAAGGCACTGAACATTACCGTAACAGAAAAGATTCCCAGTTTTATGAATTTGTGTAATCTTGTCCCAATATTGGCCTGTCCTTTAAATTAGTTTATTTTGTATAACCTTGATTATATGTTTTATCAATTGTAAATCTTTATTTTCAAAGACATGTACAATTTTTTGTCTCAACTTACTTCCTCTCCATGGCAACAAAGATCTCCTTCTTTTTTCTTTACTTTCAATTTTGGACTTATTTTTCTCCTCCTTTTTGTCTTTCTGTTCAAATTCATCTGCTGGTAGATTCAGGGGTTTTCCCTCCATTTCTCTCATCAGGTATGTTTTGTATAGTTCTGATTTGATAAATCTAGGGTAGCTGTCCTGTTTCATTAGCTTGAAAATCTATAAAGGAACAAACAAATTTCAATTATGTTTAAACAATATTTGAACCGAAACAGTTTTTTTCTCTCAAATGTTTTCTTAAAATAAGCAGATAAATGAAGGTTTTATTTAGTTTAATGTAGTGCCCACATCCCCTTTCTATTCAGACGTTGGTTGTAAACACTTTGTTGAGGGGATTAAATATATAATAAATAATTGTTGTCTTTTGGTATATATTTTCTGACTGTTTCATCTACATCCATTTTGTATTGAGTTAATTCCTGCATATTGTGTATTTTCTATAAAATTATTTAGTTATTCATTTAATGTAGGCTTGAATGGCTCAAGAATTATACTATTTATCTATGTTCATATTTGTAGAGAACTTTTTTTAGCTATCTTAAACGCCTTACCTCCTGCTGAGGCTTCTCAAATGTATTTGTTCCAGGATTGTCTAACTGTTTCTCTACTTGTTTGACACTAACATGTTCTACATTGACAGGATCTGTGGCTTTCTGAGACATATACTTCATAAAGATCTCCTTAGCTTCACCTTTTCTCTAAAAATATAAATTTATTTTGTAAGTACATTTTTAAAATATTCATTTTTTATGCATATTAAAAAAAAATGGCCAAATGATTGTAATAAGATAGAAACCAAACTCTGCTAGAAATATTTACTTTCTATTGAAACAAAGGGGAATAACTGGAATTTGTTTTATTGTAAGAATAAAATGTTCTTGGAAAAAAGAGTTATGTAAAAGTCAGTTTATGCCAAACTTCCATTATATGTTTTGTGACTTATGTTGAACATGATCTATGTAAGATAACTTGAACATGCCTAACACTTGACTGATATGTTTTTGATTTGGCATTTGTAAAACCACTGATATATTTATGTATATACAAACTTATCAACAGAATTGGCAAAATCCATAATTCAAAATTTTAGCACTTGGAACATCAGATAATTTATTTATTAAACAAAACTGAATATTTATTTAAAGATTAACTTTCTTATCTGATTGATTTTTACACATAAAATTTCATGTCAAAATAAAATGTCTGGGTAATGAAATACTGAATAGTATTATAAAACATTTAAAATACCTTATCAGAGTCTTCAATATGTTTAAATTGTTCACATGTTCTCCAGAATAAGATATTTTCTTGACTGAATTCTTTCTTCAGAAATTCCTGTAATAATATAAAAAAATAAATGAAACATCAAGTTACAAATGACCTTTTACAAACACAATATAAAACATTAAGCTACAATTGACCTTTATAAAAAACAAAAATAGTTTAATTCCGAGGGTGACATTTTAAATTCTAAATCGTTTGTATATGTACAGTAATGTTCAAACATATCTATATGTTAATTTTGACTAACTATGATTTCAATATCGGTGACAATCACAAAACTTCTTGCTGTTTTAAATTTTTTCAACAAAATTTTTCAATTGATGTTTAATATGTAGTTTCAAATACATTTGTACATGTATTAATTCAAATCCAAAATTAAATATTCTGAATGACAAAACTTACGGTGAAGACAGCAAGTCCTCCATGATCATTGAGGAGCTTGTTAAAGTTGACGGCCCAACCTGCAATACGGCCGATATCATCTTCATGTTCATCATCCTCCCCATTGTTTGTGATATTGTTTACACTGTTAGCAGTTGACAGTCGATGATTGGTTTCTGTATCTAATGCAACCAAACTCTGCAAATATAAAAATAAATGTAATTTATAACAGGGGAGAAGATGGATCTGTAATACCGTATTAATTAATTCAGCAAAAAATGAGAAATTGAATACCATTGTTATCAGTGTAGTACACAATACTTTTTCTTCAACTCTATGAGTATAGTCATGGTGTTTTGTGAAGACAAAAAGGACATGCATACGTAAACATAACGTATTTGAGAAGGAAGACTTTGTAACTAAGTTTTAAAGTTTATAATTTACCAGTGTCAATATCAATACTTATTTTCTTTTCTTTATTCTGCGCATATGAAATCTTCAAACAAATTTATCATATCAAGCCTACATTTGACCCTGATAACCCCATTAAGTTTTAGTATTACACATACATCATACTCCTTTGCCTCTTTCTTTGACTTATAAAGTACATTTTATAAGACGTTAAAATTGATCTATAGGAAATTAAAGAATTTAAATGTATTTTGATCAAAAATTTTACTCTTACAAATCTATCTTAAAATCAGAAGGTGTGAAACTAGTTATAACGTCATTAAATTAAATCACAAGGCTGAAAAAAATTGAGAAGTCAATTTCATAACAGATTTCTTTGAAATTGTAGAAGAAAAATGGGATTTCTTTGGAAATTTAGAAATGCTTCTCAAATTACTAAATTGCAAACTATTTTATCACACTGACAATTGGCCTTCCATAAGATCTATACTTTTAAAACCAGTTAATTTTCCTGAGGTATAATTATGGTGAAAGCTATTACCAAAGATTGGATTTGTTTTCAACATTAAATTTGTGAATAAACAGACCTAATTTTAAACATGAAATCAATTATTTGTATACTAGGAAAAGATTTCTGGTAAATTTAATGCCCCCCTTTTTTTTATCAAATCCTTCTCACATTTTGTAAGGAAACTGTCATATGTTGACTAAATGTAAGTGTTTTACTCTCACTCTTTTCATTCAAAAAATAAAAAATAATTACATTTTATTTGTTTTACAATCTTAGGTACTTACTAAAGTTGATAAGCTTAACATCCACTTTAATTTGGACAACACCAAATTGTCAAAATTATCATACAAACTGTGAATCCTAGCTCTACCCTTCATCATAAAATTATGTCTTTCTTTCCCAAGTTCCAATTAAGATATGTAACAAGTTTAACAAGTTTAGAATTATATCTGGATGATATTTTAATTTGTTTATTCTTCAATTTCCTCTGTTATCTCAGATTGATCAAGAGATAATTTGTAACAAAGTGATCAAAGATATTAAAAAAAATATTAAAATACATGTTCACACCTCCACTTTGGAATTGAACAAATGAGAATTTATGGAACAAAGAAAAGGAAATCAAATGAATACACTTTAACCCTGGGATATACAAGTACTGAATACATACATATTTACATATCTGATTTTTATCCTGAATACCTTGAGGGAAAAATAGTACATGTTCCCACAAAACTTGATAAATTTGCTTTAAAAAAAACTTGGAAAATTTGCATTTAAAAGCTAAATTAATTAAAAAAAAAAGAAATATGCATATCTGTTACATGTCATTGATTTAAACATACAACATAATTTAAATAACATTAATTATCCTGGAATTTTCATTCCAAAATTTACATACCCAAACACTGCTAAATGCAACCTTCAGTTTGGGATACATTGCCACAAATATTTTTCAAAATACATTAATGAAATTAGAATTTCATATTTCCTTCCTCCAAATCAATTCTTTTCATTTCCTAAATGAGTACTTTATAAAATACAACATAAAATGGTTTGATATTGAATCATCCAATCAGAATAAAAAACAAAACATATTTTATGTAAATTTATTATACCAGGAGACTTTTCATCTAGTCTATATTAAGTTCTGCAGTTTCACTTCCCAAGTTTAATTTTTTTAACTAACTAAATATCTTAATATACAATTAAGAAGCTACTACTGACTACACTTTCCACATATACCCCTGCCTTCTTACACCTCTACAAAACTATAGCAGATTTGAAAATAAACTCTTACCAATCGACTACGTGGCTGAAAAATATTAATAAATTTCACCAATTCTTTATCATCAGAAAGCGAATGTCTATGATCAATCACACTATATGATCGCTGATACATTTCTCCATTTTTATCGGCAACAATATAGTAAAACATTTTCCATGTCAAGACGGAGGAAAGTCAATTTTGAAGGATAATCCCTCTTACATTCATAAGATATATGATTCATGATTTTCCATTTTATATCATTATCAAATAAATGTTTTTAATAAGTCCAATTAAAATGTTTATCCTGTTAAAATCCTGTGAGCGTGACTGAGCAACAATACTGATGTTCACGTTACAAGTATTACAGTATAGATGTTCCACAATGACGGATTAGACGACAGATCCGTTCAACCTAAAATTCATAAATGTTATGCCATTCGAACATTTTCATGTAACGGAAGTAAATAATTGTACTGCAGTTCATTCTCAAATTACGTCCTCTTTTTAAAAACCATTGTATGACCTAGACTGAACGATTCTTATAAAGCATGTATCTATATAAGTTCAAATTTGGTCAACAGTCTAAATCAATCATCTGATATATTTAACCTTAGTCACAAACATTGTGTGTCAAACTTGTCCTAAAGTTATCCTAGGTTTACATTTTATCAAATGACACTATATATAAGAAGCTAAATAATTAATTCATAACCTTAGCAAATTTCCATGCACGAATACATGATCGAAGTCCATACTTTTCAAGGTTTTAGACTAATTGAAACTTTTTTTTCTTTTACAACGCTATACATTATATCTATATGTTTCAAATGACATTCATATTTCTTAAATATTTATCTATGAAATTCATTGTATATAAGTTTGATTTGGCAAAAAGTGATCGATTAAGAGTTTTATTCTATTAAGTTTTAGCTATTTAAGTACTTATTATAAGGACCTTAAGTAGATTTGACCTCATTATTTCTAAGTGCATATGAAACTTAAATTGCATCGTTTTTTCACAAAATATTGAAGTTCAAAGAAATTTTCCATGTTGAGTTTATGATGTTCAAACATAGACGGAGATTTACAGGAAAGACATTGAAATATCTTTTTTGTAGTTAAAATTAAATATTTTTCATTTTTGCTCACCTGGTAAAAATCTATAATGAAATTTTAGAAATATTTTTTTTTTGGATAGTTGTTTAAGATTTAAACTTCTCATTTATTAAGAGATAAATTTTAAGTCTCTGACTATCAAATTAAAAAGAATAATTAAAAGAACTTACATAATTCAGTAATGACATATTAACTTGCATGCTCCTTTTCATCTTTTTAATAGGAACATGATCAGTACTTTTTCTTCTTTGACGACTTTTCTTATAATATAATCTTTCAAACTGTTCTTGTCTTTCAAAAGAAGCTCCATTTAATGTTATATCCAGATACATTTTGGAAGTTCCTCCGATTTTGTCAATAATCATTGTAGAATTTCTACTAGGATTCACAATAAAACAAGGTCTGTTTGGTTTTGTTTCAAAGTTGGGTATACTGACAGGTAATCTCTCTTGTAGAACAGGTTTGTAATGATCAATGTTAAAATGTGATTTCTGAGATGTGACTTCTATGAAATCAAGGTGTGTAATGACACTTTGAGTGTTTGACAGAACATTTTTATTCCAACCATCTGGGAAGGAAGCTGTCATTTTAATTAATATTGAGATTAATTAATCTGATAACTTTGTTTTACATGTGTCCAGACATACCTGGAAAGCTTATTTTGAAACTAACCAATCAGAGTATACCTTTACCTGTAATTAACCAACCAGATTGAAGCATTACACTAAAGGTAAGTGTCAGCTTGTATAGTTAATCCAATTAAGAAATGTTCAAGTCTGTCTAACAGTTTTCCTGAACTCTGACCCAAAGGGCAAAAATGACACTTTTACATGTAAAACATGTAAATGATTATGATAATAACAGTAAACAAATTAAATAATCCAACATAATCCCAAAAGACAACTCTTCTTTACAAATCTGACACCCAAAAGTGAAATTAATTGATTTTTAATCATTCTGTACAAATCTCTGATTTCAAGAATTGTTAACAGATAAGTTTTTACATGTTTTCCAACAAAAGGGAAAAAAAGAATAAAATTATTTTTTATAAAGATTATTATTATGCAATTTCTAATTAATTCGTGTATAATTCATATGACCAAAGAAAAATAAACAAAGTTAACCTTTTATGCACATAAATCTGTGGAGATAAAATTATATCAATCCTTGAAACATTTTAAACCTCAAAAAGTTTTGTCTTGACAAAAAGTATTTTTTAATAAACTCTGAAAAATGTTACAAATTTAAAAAAACAACTTTCTCATGTTTATAAAGTTCTTATGTCCATTTTCTGCTAACTTACACACATCACCATTGAGAATAAAATTATATAATACTGCAATTCATTTCTAATCCATTTTAACACACACTGCACCCAGGAAGATACTTGAACATCTCATCTTTAAGTATACATATAAGACTACTCTCCAGGACAAAAACACACGAATAATGTAAATCCTACTTCCAAAAGTGCAAACAGATTTGATGGCCTAGTGGTGTAGCTTAAGAGGCCAGCTGGGTCAAACCAAATATTTTCAAATTGGTATTTGCTGCTGTCTGCTAAGCATGCAGCATTAAGTAGTAAGAGCAAAGACCAGTCGGTTCTGAGTCAAAATAATGTGTCCTAGGTAACATGTCTTCATGTGAACTGGCATGTTAAAAATCTAGCTCACCATGTCAGTGTAGTACAAAGCAGGGTTCACATTATTACGGCCTTTACATGTTTTTTTTTCTTCCTGAATAAGCATTTAATTTGCCACTGGACATCAAACAGCCATTCATCACCTGATGATAATGATCATCAAGTAAGAGTGCATAGTTCTTTGAATGGGTATCATATATGCTTGAATGGAACAACTATAGTTAATTATAAGGGAAACAATAATGATATTTTTACTGAATTACTGTAAAAGTATTATGAAATTCCACAAATTATATGTCATTTCAGTAAGAAAGCTTTAATAGCTTTACCACTATAGTATATTTGTGTACTAAATAAAAACACAACAAAGATAGCAGTCTTATTAAATCTAGTATACCAGACATAATGACCTATAATGGTTTACTTTTATAAATTGTGACTTGGATGGAGAGTTGTCTCATTGGCACTCATACCACATCTTCTTATATCTATATACAATAGAAAACTCATCAGTGGCCATACTCTTGTGGAAGATGTTAAAGAGCATTGAAAAACACAATTTTAATAACATTTGTGCCAAATCTGGCTTTCTTAAGGGCATCTATGCCTCAGTGTATAAAAAACCTTATCATTCAAGATATAGCCATACCACAAAGTCTATAGTCCTAATTGGTGTACTAGGATATCTAACTTGACCTATTTATGAAGATTTTTTTCACGATTTTTACCATGCCATTTCAGCATGAGAGCTTTGTTAGCCTGAGAAGTACAGGGTTTGTACTTGACTTTTCTTATTTTTTGCACTTAAACATATAACTTGAACTCTGATAAGAAACTTCTTAAAGTACTTTAGGTTTTATTTTTTTGACATTAGTAAGAACCCTTGTCAATCACTTGCTAATCTATTAAATACTTAAGTCTCATTTTCACCAAATTTTAAAATGATAAAATTTTATACACATTTTTTTACTGTTTTATTTCAATGAATATAAATATATGTACTGAAATAAAGATTTCATGTCAGATAACCCTTTTTATTGTCATTTTTTTTAATTAGGTGTCTAAAAGCTACAAAATATTACTTATTAGAAGGTTTGGCCAAACTATAACTGTCAATGAGTTGCCGGCTATTATTTTGGTAACCTAGGCTCCATTGAGCAGGAAGTGAAGAATTTCTTATTAAATACTTCAAACTAATATTGACAGAGAGATAAAACTGTTATAATCTAAAGCCTATCATTTCAGAGAACGTTCCATATCAGATTATAAGAGCTTCCAATACAATTTTAAATAATCCATACTTTCATTTTGCACGATTTTGCAAGAAACTCAAAAACTCTCCATTCTACAGTTACCAAACAGTTTTACTAAAATATAATTTTAGTTATCTACATCTACAAAAACAACTTGTTACAATTCTGAAAGTGGACCTGAGCTCCTTAAGATTTTGAACTCATATGTAAATAAATGCTCTTTTAAATAGTCAAATACTCTTTATAATTTAAATCACATAGTGTCGTGAAGTCAAGAAATTTGCAACATATTTCTAATATCAGTTTACATGGATAATTTTCCCTGTGTAGATATGGCCTTGTGATAATTTCTATTTAAAAAGAAAATTTTGTTACTATCTCAGTAAACAATTCAAAAGGTCTTTACCATTAGAATGAAATAAGATAGAGAGTCCAGCAGAGACCATATGTGGTTCACCTAGGGATTATAATCAAAAGGTTAAAGTAGATTTACTAACCACTTGTAGACTAAGAATCCCTTTTTTGGCATGTTTTACTTTGAAAAGTGACTTGACATAAATAAAAATACATATAATCATATTTAATATTGTCTGAAGTTAAATTGTGAAGGATTATAAAACTTGACGTAATGTCAAACAACTTTGCTGGGAATTAGTAATATTTATAATGATCATATTCTGTTTTAGTTTATAGATACTACCACAAAACAATACTTGGTTAATAATTGACATATCATAGTCCAAATTTTTGAAACATTCAAGACACAGTCACAAATTTCTATCATATCAAACTTAAAATACAATGTATAAAATACCAATGCAATTGTCATAATATGGAAATTTTTTTATATAAGCAATCAAACTTATTTATCATTTTCAGGCAACACTCAATCTTCAATATGAAGTTTGACAAATTACAACTTCTTTAACTGATAACAGATAATGATTGAAATGCTTGAAAAAAGGGACATAAACTGTTTCAAAACATAGCTACATTTGATCTATAACCCTTCATTTGTAACCATTAATTTCTTTATAACATCTTAAAACATATCATGTAATGGAACATCAGTTCTTAATATAAAAAAAATGTTAAGAGTAAATTGATAAAGTCATTCATGTACATTTACAAATTGTGCATATTAGAATATTAATAATATACAACTGTTCATGAAATTGTTATAATAATAAAGTAGTCTTTTGAAACTGATTTTTTTTGTGATCTAAAAGTTATGAGTATCCGCAGTAGCGCCCAAGTAAAATATTTTGTGCATAAAAAAGAGCCAAATGCATTTAAGTTATTAGCGATCAAAGCTAAACTATCTTATTATTATTATTATAGATGACAGTACACCCTATTTTGCCTCAATATATCTGTATATCAAATTTTTACTTCATTTAGTATTCTTTACATACAAATTTGATAATGTAGCTTTATGAACCATTTTATTTAAAAGCTAGGACAAAAGTTTTCAAAATACTGTTTTATTAAGGTTTGTCAAAATAATCTATGGGGCGCATCATATTTTGTTATATAAAATATCTTTTATCTTTTAAAGAGAAACTCATAAAATGGAGAAATATGATTTTCATATACGAAAAATTTCACATGCAATAATAATATTCTATACAACTTGAACTTGTACTTGCTTTAGGAAGCCAATAAAATAGCATACATTTTTTTTAATGTACTAAGTATAGAAAGAATTCAAGTGTTAGAAAGTGGTTAAATATCCGTTTTTTCTTTCCATGAAGCCTTTCCCTTTCCTTCTACACTTAACTAAAATTTAAGTATGGGAACCAAGCTCTGTATAAAGATCAATCTTCCATTCATTTTTTTTTCAAAGTTTATCAAAGCAATTAAATCTGGCTACACATGTAAAACCAGCTTTTGTCTACATAGATACATAATTTCATATTGATTTCAAACTTTTCCAATGAAATTCCTGTAAAGCTTGAATAAGGATAAAAAAGAGTTCATATGCTGAAATGTCTCGCCTGCTTAAAGTACTGACCATTGATTTTATGTTGAAAGTCTGGGAGTTAAAAGGTTTTACTAAAAGCATTACAGAAACTTTATATTTTTAAAGATCTATGACAATGAGGTCAAGGTCAGATTAATCATGTCAGACAGACATATACCCCTTACAATTTTTTTATACACCAAATATAGTTGACCTTTTGTGTATGCTAATTGAAAAACAGACCAAAACACAAAAACTTAACATTGACCATTGAACCATAAAAATGAAATCAAGGTCAAGATGATACCTGCCAGATAGACATGTACACCTTACAATCATTCCATACACCAAATGTAGTTGACCTATTGCTAATAGTACTTGAAAAACAGACCAAAACACAAAAAAATAACATTGACCAATGAACCATGAAAATGAGGTCAAGGTCAGATGAAACCTGCAAGACTGACATGCACCCATTACAATCATTCCATACACCAAATATAGTTGATCTACTGCTTATAGTATTTGAGAAACAGACCTAATCACGTAACTTTAACCTTTACCACTGATCCATGAAATAAGGTTGAGGTCAGGTGAACTCTGTCTGGCGGACATGTAGAAGTTGCAAGGAACCCGTATACCAAATATAGTTATCCTATTACTCACAATAAGTGAGAAATTCACATGACAAAAAAACTCAATTTTTTTTTTCCAGCAGTTGCTGAACCATGAAAATGAGGTCAAGGATTGACGGAAACTTCGTAACATAAGGTGTCTGCATACAAGATATGAAGCATCCAGGTCTTCTACCTTCTGAAATATAAAGCTTTATACAAATAGTTTACGCCGCCTCCACCGGATAGTAATACCTATGTCTCACATACTGCGATGATTTACTGCGACAATCGTCGCAGGCAAGACAATAAAAATGAATTCACAGAATTTGAGTTTTACAAACATGAAAGTAGTAAAAAGCTTCACCATGAATCATTAAATATTCATAAAAAAAAACAACCCTTAAAGTGAACTTCCTATCTTCTTCAAGCAAATTATCAAAATGAATTGGAATAATGTGGTCAGTTGCAGAAAATATGCAAAATTGCTTTTTCTATTATAAAAAGAGTCTTGCCAACCAATACTGATAAGGCAAATTAAATATAGACAAGATGGGATGACATGCAGCAGTCCCCTTTGCACTTTCAATGAAAGTAATTTTATGAAAAGTAGGTCCTCAGAAAATAATCAACTCCATCTGTTGTTAACCATTAAAGTAATAAACTAAGAATAAGCTTAATAAAAAAAAATGCAAACTGTTGGATTTCAAAAGGATGGAATTGTAGAAGGACTAAATGATGTTAACAGATACATGCCCCTGCTTCTGAGTGGTGCTGGGGTCGCAGTCGTAACCCTAAATGCAAGCTAACTGCCAATATGCTTTGTTATATATGTTTTCCCATGTATTACCTCATGTGAGTGACTAAAGGGATGCTGTAGACGGGATAACTCCTTTAATGGTTTGTTATATATGTTGTTTTTTCATGTATTACCTCATGTGAGTGACTAAAGGGATGCTGTAGACGGGTATTTGTATTTTCCCCATATATTACCTCATGTGAATGACTAAGGGGATGCTGTAGACGGGACAACTTTCTAGTTCGAGTCTGTGGCTTTGCCCAATTATCTTGTATATCATCTGAGGTCCGATTCTTTTCCCTCTGAAAAAAAAACCAGATTTTCTTATTAATTTCTAAATACCTGTAAATTGTTAAGAAATGATAAAATGATTATATACTTTGGGATTAAGTTCACAAACTTCTTTATATGCTTAGTAATAGGCTACAACCATCAAGTAAATTCACATATTTGTCTGGCATTTCTGAAGGTATTGATTACCATAATTGTAGAGATTAAACAGGAAACAAACATAAAGTGGGAAATATTAGAGATATAAGGAAATCCCTCAACTGTAAGATAAAACAAAAACAAAAAACATATCAATTGCCATTTTAGCTAAAGTGCATGACTTGCATCAAATTGAATATGAGAATGACATAGATATTCACCATTACTTAACTTTTTATACAGCTGTGTCAAATTTCAATACATTAGATTTTATAGTTTTAATTTAAATTTCCTAACAACCTTTCATTTAACTTTAAACATGTTTTTTGCTTGATATATTTGTTACTTTTCACTCAATCTTATGTCAGGTTTGAGTTACTTAACCATTCAGTTAGACCTTGTGCATGCTTGTTCCCTCTTAAATAAGTGACAGTTATTCACAGTATTTTAACTTCTTTTCAAAAAATGAACATAACACTCCATCATCATATGCATAAAATTCATTGGTCTTTCTTGAAATGTGCCCATCAAAAAAAAGACATTAGCAATTGAAGAGCTAACTCTGAACAATGAGTATATCATCAAAAACAAAAACCTACAGTTTATTGTCATGTTGTTCATGGTTTCAAAACAATTTTATTGGAAGACCAATTTGCCAATGAAACTTCAATATTTGACAATCCAACTAGAGTTTCTGTATTTATATCCAGTTTTCTTAAAGTTTCTTAACTGAATTTATGTTAGGCTCAGGTACCTCATTGCCATCTCCTTTTGAAATAAAATTCAAGTTAATTTGTAACTCCCCACTATAAAACTCCATACATAAATGATGCTTATGCAATTACCCACTTAAAATGCAGAAAATTAGGATTAAGTTTGTTTAATAACCTAACCCTATAGTAGCAACACTGAAGTAGCACTTGCTGTGGAGTATATATCTCCCAGTCAATACAATATTCCAATGTTATGTAACTTATGTATTCCATTATGATTTATTTCGCTACATTGTATTTACAAATAAGCTATATACCAACTTACCAAGCCTTTGAAAGTTTTTAATGACGCTGTCATGATTTGGCTAACAGATATGGATTCTTTAATATTATGTCACTGATATTCACAAATATGTTTTACTATTAACCACAATTCCTTCCTCTTTTCCTTGATCATGCCATTACAAAATGAGACTTGTCAGATTTCTACTTGAGTAACAAGTAGATACCAATAGTGGAGCCAGAACTGCTTACCCTTCCAGAGCACATGATTTCACCCTCAGTTTAAAGTGGTGTTCATATTGCTCAATCTTTAGTTTTCTGTGTAGTGTTTGCTTTTGTTGTTTTTATTTTGGCCATGGTATTGTTTTTCTTCCCCTATCTAAACACATCAGTCTTCAAGATTGAAATTCAACTAATCTGTATCTTTATATACTCTTCCAACTTTGACTTTTGAATTTTAAACAATCAAGGGACCAACAGCATATACTATAGTTGTAGTTCTATAGTTACTGAAAATGATACTTTATTACGATTTGACAAATATTATATAGAACAAACTGAAGACAGAGTTATTACTTTGATACAAGGTCCTAATTAATGACCTGAGCACATGAAACAAAGTGGACTGAAGGATGAATAAAGTGTTAAAGTAAGAATTAATTACTCATCTATACCTTAAATAGTTTTCAACAAAGGGTATATACTTTTTAATGATAATAACAAACATAAACTCGACCACAATTCTCTGTTAAATTCCAGTTTGCGTGTTCTCATGAAAAACCAACACTAACAATTTCTGCTTTCACAGAAAGGGTTATAGCCATATTTTGTGTAACACAAAAGACATTTTGTTAACAAAAAGTGTGATAACAAAAAACAGTAACACTTAATTTGAATCTAATACAACATATCTCCCTATCTTACCTTCATATATTCATTAAAATCTTTGTAAGAGAATGTTAAAGTCATTTTTCTAGATTCTTGTTTCCTCCTTGGCCTCCAACTAGAAGCACCACCAACATCAGGGGTTAAAGGACGAAAATATAAATTTTTCAAGCTAAAACTCATAGGATTTGATTTTGTCCTGTCTTTCAATGAGAAATTCATACTTTCTTTTTAATCTATTCCAAACACTCAAATAAATCCAGCTAAAATACAATAACACGAAAATAACGAATGTAGTTTCTCAATCACCATACACAATAATTGCATGCAATTCTTTCTGGGTTAGTAACTACTGCTGTCCATTTTAATACACCTACCAAATACTTCCCTAGAAGAATATGGTGTAAATAATGTGTCAATGTCTGATAAGATGTTTATGTTTTACAATGTTTTCTTCATTAATTACAGTGATCCCACACAATGTATACTGAACATTTTTGTGTGTAGTTCAATACTTCCCATTTGTAATTGCATATTAAACTTAATGTTAGCTCCAAGCAAAATATTTACATGTCCAGTGACACCGCCAATTTCCTTATGGACATTAAAAAGTGACAACTTTTTATACTATAACTGTTTCACATCAATGAAAAATCTATCAGTTGTACAACCACAGATTACACCAACTAAATGTATTGTCCCAAGTCATAGATACAGCATATTATTCCAAAACATAGTCACACATACTCAACAATGTTCAAATGATATTCCTTAAATAAACATTAGGCCCGTCATATCTCACAAAATTAGCCTGTCGAATGTGTGACTGTATTTAAAGTTATATCTTTGAAGGTGTAACTCAAATAAGAGACAGTATACAGGTATTTAAAAAGTTGGCTTTTAACGATTTTGGAGATATAATTCTGTGTCCAATTTATTCTAAGGATCCAACGTCAGACATTACACCATTCGTTGTATAACGATTATGGCAAAAACCTGTCCCAAGGCTAGGGAACAATATACTGGATCAATTACTATAAAACACCATAGTTCTTAATATCTCTGAGAGAATTTAAATGTTTTAGTAAATGCTTTCCAAACATGACAGGTATTTTTAAATAAATGTTTTTAAGTATTTAAAGTTTTGAGTATAAAGACCACATGGGATAGATTGGAGATTTATTGTTGTGTATAATTATGTTGGTTTATGAAATGAAAAAACATCCTAACGACTAAGTATATGTTATGACATTGCAGATTAACAGTGATCTGCACAGAATTCTACAGGTTCTAAAAATAACTCATCATCATTTTTTGAATAAGATAAAAAAAAAAATGTGTTAACCCTTAGATTGGCTTTAACTAAAATTAGATAAGTTCCCAACCACTGAAACCAACTCAAACCTCTCAATTCAACCTGAACAACCAAGAATCAAGCAAGCTCCAAACCTTATCAATTTTGACAAGAACTTGTTTGCATTGGTGTGCAGAGTATACAGTCATTGATGAAAAGTTTCATGCGGACAAAAGTCATGCAGACCAAAAAATTGCTAATAAATTACTTTATTTTGAAGTTCAACAGTAAATAACAATTCATTCTATTTTAAGGAGTTGTCTTATATGTAACTGTTAACAAACAGTTCCATGCTCTGTGGGTACATAAAATTTATAAAGCATTGTTGAATTGGAAATGACTATCTGGCATATCTGAAATGTTATTTTTCTTTGATTTTTTTAATTTAATTTGAGATAACTCAATGTTATAAAATTTGGGAGGTTATTCACAAAGCATCCATTAACTAGCAGACCTGTTAATTAATATAACTTTAACAGAGATGTTAACAGGTATGTCTGTTTAAATCTAACATGGTGTGGTACAAATGTTTCCGTATATGTTGTGATAAGGCTTAAATTAAAATATTGTTTGTTTGCAGTTTACCGACCGACCCTCGAAAATCTCCCCGACTGTGAAAATTTTATTGCTTTTAATTTGAAGAAATTAGTTTTATTTTTCTATTGACGCATTCCTGAACTTCTGGTTGTTTCCGGAATTGATTTAAAGTCTGGGCCGATTACACGTTTCAAGTTCGGTTTTTCTTACCTTCTTGTCAAGCGTACATGGGACCGTTTAATAATAAAGCACATGGAGATTATTTACAGGCATCGATGAAGACATGAATGAGTACTTTGCGCTGTCGTTTTCTGTCAATTTTAAAACAAATAACAACCAAAAAAGTTTAATAGTAAACTGTTTATACAGATTCAGACAGATATCATTGACGATTTGAGAACGCATGATGCAGCGGATATTCATAAAATCAACACGATAACCGTTTCCATCTCAAACAGATCGGGTACAGAATCTCTTGAGCCTGACTTTATGGAACCAATATCATTGGTTAACCGTTAAACAATTTGACAGCAGCCTGAAGTATGCCATAGTTTCTATAAAACGTTGTGAAGACAACAAGGATGAAACCACTTCTCCATGACTTCATGGATACCTGTAAACACACCAGGAAGGGCGCATTTGAAATTTATAATCGATAGACAATGCCAAATCTATAAGAAGCCACAGAAACTACACAAAGATGTAAAGAAAATGAAAGGTTGGCTTGTAAAAATAAATATACTTTCTCTATGTTAAATCTATCTTCTATTGCAATGAGTATGCTCCTCTAGGATAAGGGGAGCTACCCCACTCATTGCAATTCTTCTCCCTCTTACAATATTAAATATACCCAATCAGTGTGGCTTGTGTGAATTGAATTAAAACATGTCCTTAGGAGCTATGCTGCCAATTTTTTATGCAGTCAAAACATTTCAGCACAGACCATTTACTTTTAAAGGGGTGCTATTGATTTCACCCTGAAGTCTAAGATTTTTTTGGTTTTAATTAAAGCCTGATCACACCAACATATCTTTCAAAATATAACCTTATTGCATATAATTAAATATTGTTAGATTTATGAAAACAGTCAGATGTCAAATAT